AGCCCTTCATCCTATGAGCTGGTCTATGTGAAATGCAGGGCATCAAGTGAAGCCAGAATTTCAGATCACTTTCGGTTGCCAAAGACATTCAATTAATTGCTAATCTGGATACCATGTCAGATCCCTGACTCATCATAAGCAAAAGTACATGATAGTGGCACCTACCCCTTCCTTAAAACCTGTTGCATATGTGTATGTGTTTTATTTTATATGGCAACCCTAGATAGGTTGTGCTCAAGTATTAGAATCAGTTTTCTGATTTCAGAGTCCTGCTCTCCATACTGTCTATCAAGATGGTATCCATAGCTAAGAACACTTAATGAATACAATAGCAAATAACAGTATTAACAGTATGTTAAAATACAGTATAAATATCAACATAGTTGCCACATATGACGTTTTTATTACTTTTAAACATCCAGAAGCTTACTATATTGTACCTTATATTTAAATTTAAGGCTAAAAACGAAACCCAGGGAGATGGATAGCTTACAATTTTCCTAGTAAATATACTTTGTAAATCATTAATTCAAAAATTTTATAGAAACTTTGAACTTTGATATTCATCACTCTCCCAAAGTGGACTCTTGGGAAATTAAATGCATAAAAATTGTTAAGTATTGAAATTTCTCCCTATTATTCAGTGCCTTCCCAGTGATACCCAAATGTCTCTACATGGTATTTGAGGCTTTTCAGATATGGCTGAGACTCAGTGTTCCAGCCTCAGCTCCATTTAACCTTGTCTTGAGCTCTACCTATGGGCCCTTATCATTCCTCAACTTTATGATACACTCTCTCCTCTAGTATCTCTTTGTCTTAGAGTCCCTTCATCTTGAAAGGTGTTTCCCTTTCTTGGCCATAGGAAATCTTATCTTCAACTCAAACATTCAGTTCTTTAGTGATACAACCTTTACCTCATAGCTGGCCCCTTTGCTAACTTTGCCATAATGCCACTCAGCAGAGCTTGCCTTGCAATTACATTGTTTTTGTCTCCTTGAATAAAAAATTAGTTTCCTATGGTCAGGGCTTCCTGTGCCTTATTCTTTGTTTTGTTTTACACCTGATTTAGTACCCAAAATGGTGCCTTTCCCAAAGTAATTTCTTAATAAATTTTCTGTTGAGCCAAAGGTAGTTCAATAACCCACAGCAATAGTGCTCTCAAACATATAGTGTCATTAGTTGGAGTTCTGTGATTCCTCCAGATAAGGTCAAGTTGCTTTGGGCATGCTCATAACAACTAGTGGTTATATTTTCAACTTTGAAACTGTCTCCCTATTGTTAAAAATGAGCACATGTTAATTTTAAAAATCTGTGAAAACATACAAAGGGGGAAAAGTCATCAATAAAACTACCTTTCAAAGGCAACATCTGCTATTCTTTTTATTAAGTATAGAAATACTGCTTATTTTTACTTAGAAACTCTCAACGCAGTTAATATGGAAACACAGACAAGTGCCTACAGGCAAACACAACTGGGTTTGTATCCCTAAGCCCAGCATTTTTGGGTCATATGATCCTGGGTTAGTCACTTCCTTTGGCTGAGGCCTAGTTTCTCATCTGAAAAGTAAAAATATTAATACTACAGTATTTTGTATTCCTATGGGTATTTTGGAAAAATCCTGTTATAAAACATTTGACAGTACTCTATAAATTAGAACATATTCTTTGCCTTTTTTATTAGTGTGTTAGACTGTACAGAAAATGAGTCTATGGATAGATGGAGAGATCTGACTGAATTCTGAGTAAACAGTTCACACTGGGTCATGAGTTACAATCTTCACTTCACAAACAGGAAAGGAGGTAACTTTTACTGAGCATCTACTATATGCCACATTATCTGCTGTGTGCCTTACTCCTGTCTTCCCATAAAACCACATATTATCTTTCACATTACTTATGAGAACAACTGAAATCCAGTCAGCAAAGCCTCTGGTATTGCAAGATTAATGCTAAAGTGGATCTGATCTCAAATTCCAGGTTCTTTCTGTTTTCCCTATAGTAAGATAATACCTTTCTCTTATTCTTATGGAAATTTCTAGAGTGGGTGAATGGGCAGTATTTGATTGGATACATGGATTTTTTTTGGATGCAGATTCTCTTAGGAAAGTTTAAAGTTAGGATTATTTCATCTTAAAGGAGAGGGGACTAATTTAAAAGCCTTTTTGCAAGCAAATGAAAAGGAACAATGCTGGGTAAATGACCAGATACCTTTTGCTTGTAATTTACCTATGCCTACCTTAAAATATAATTTGCTAATTTGCATACCATGGTTTTTTTAGACCTGGAAAGAGTGGCTGAGGGAAGCGGTGGAACTTCCTTCTTGAGAGAATGTTTGTTTTTGAGCTAGGTGGACTTATCTTTTCAGTTCTATTTGAAAGTGGAAAAGTAGACTCAATCAAAGATGAGTCTCAAGTGAACAAGGAAAAAACTATCATTGTAAACTCTGCTAAAACTGATTAAAATAAATGATAGTACAGCACAGAGGATCCAAATGATATTACAGTGCAGAGACACATGAGGGTGCTCTAACCAGCTGCTGTAATAAATGAACTGAACTGATCAAGTATCGGGAAGATTGCAAGCTGGTGCGAATGGCAACATTCAATTCTTTTAGTATTGGCTGAAGAGAACAATCTTGAAATGGATAATTTTTCTTTTAAATAAAATGTACTGGCCTTCTTTACCATCACTACTCCCAGTTTAAAAAGTAGATGTTCATATTGGACAATTTGGTAGATACTAAGAAGTATAAAGGACAAGAAGAAGGAAGAGGGAGAAAAAAGAAAAAAAGAATGGACTGACATTGTATCATCCCTGGGAGGCTGGGGTTTTCTAGAACTGGGCCAGTTGGAGGCTTTAGCTCAGGAGGCCTGCCTTCAAATGAGAGCCCAGCCTGTTCTCATTTTGATTCCACAGACCTGCTGGTACAAAGAGGGAGTAAGGGCTGGGGGTCTAATGACCGCAAAAAGAGAATTAGAGACGCATGTTTATCTCAATACATTTACTCTCATTAAAGTTCATATTCACTGACATCATGCATCTCCTTGAAAAAGTCTGCCCACCCACCATTAATTAAAGCCACATTTTAAAAAGTCAGCATGTGCACTTTTATTCCAATCAAAAGTAGCCTCCTAAGTTTTGCAGAGTAGGCAGGAGAATATCTGAGGCCTGACAGCTGTTCACCTCTACACAGTGAATAATCATGTGATTTACATTAAAAGTTGTGTTTATGCAGGGCCTAGAATATAATAGCTAAGATCTATTGTCTTAAAGAGTTGAAACATTCAATATCTATGGCCTAGTATGCAAAATTAACATTTATTTTGATAAGTCAACATTCTTCGGGTACAATGTAAGACCACCTGCCTTTATCTTTCCAAACAGAAGAATCTAACTATATACCCTGTTGGAATAATTAAGCAGCACACTCCTATCAAAGACGTCACACTTTATAACTTATACATGTGCTATCAAGGTCAAAACAAAGGTCAATGTAAATTCTTTTATCTAAATCATTGCACAAACAGCAATTACCAACACTTACAGGACTGCACAACCGTGGTCTATATTCTTGGCAGTAGTCACTATAAGTTCATAAATTCATGAAGATAAAGAATGTTTATTTCTTAAAGTTTAAGAAAGGTACTATTTGTAAACAGTTCAGGTCATAGTTATCCATTACTAAAGCAGGAGTTCTTTCCTTTGAACTTCCTTTAAATTATATTTGTTCTTTCCAGATCCAAAGAAATTTGTATTCTTCTCTATTATTTTCTGTATTAAAGCTCCCTATGGGGGCTTTGAATTTTATGCTGATCTTTCTTTATATGTTAATATCATGCACATTTTCAGTTGTATTGATAAAAGACAAACTATGGTTATCTCGTTCCATTGGCAATTAGATTATTCTATAATAGTTCTGACCAAGTATTTGTTCAGCTCAGCCAGTTTATGCTTTCTACCCAAAGACATAAAGTGTGGCCCTCAGATTCTCCTGTTATTCTAATCAGGCAACCATAGAGAGGGACACAGATCAACAGTGGTTCTGAACATTGGCATTGAATCCTAGTTTAATCCTGTTCAGAGCACACTTGGACTAGGACTTGAAACCTGAGTTCTAGTCCTGACTTTTCTACTGACTCACTTGAGTACCTTGAGGGCCTCGATTTTTTCATCTAGCAAATGGGTGTCAGAGTGACTAATGCCCAGGCACCCATAGCCCAGGAGGCTTGTCAGGGTCAAAGAAGAAGGGGCCATGTCTTCCTCTGGCCCTCTTACTCATCCAGTACCAGAAACCTCAAGGTGGGGCTTTTGTGAGCTGGAGGTGGGTCTGGCTTTAAGAGTGAATCTTTAAATCTAGAAGAATCCAACAAACCATGCCTATGAATTTCTTTTATGAAAAATTTGAGAGAAGAAACTCTGACTCTTTTTCTTTCAGTGGTATTAGAGACTGAGCCTAGGGCCTTTGAACTGAGCTAATGTCCAATTTTTAAATTTTTTAAAATACTTTGAGATGGGGTCTTGCTAAGTCATTAACTCGTCCAGGCTGGGTTCAAACCTGTGATCTTCCTGCCTCAGCCTCCCAAAGTTCTGGAATTAGAATGTCATCATCCCTGGTTTATTGAGTGTTCATATTGCTTAAATATAAATATTCAGTGTCCCATTGCTATGTGGGATGAAGCACTATCCTAACCCACAGAATTTACCTCCTGCCCAGATGATACAGTGTCCAGAGGGACCATAAAACACTTGACTCAATACAATGCCAAAAGCAATGGGTGGAGTCCTTCTGCTCAGCTGAGCGAAAGAAGGTGGGGTGTGGGTGGGGATCTTTAAACCAAGATGGTGGCATTCTTTAGAACAAAAAGCTCTGGACTGGGCGGCTGTGGGAAGCTGTGACTATATAACATTTTATCAACTCTAGAAAAGCTTAAGATAATCTCTGCCTAAGTGACTCATAAGGCCTTGTGGTCCTCAAAATGGGTGCAGTTGCATTTCCATACCTTCCTGCCAGCTCTGTTGTTGTGGAGATTCATCAGGGCTCTGGCATCCTTCCCCTTCCTTTCCTTGGCATCCACAAATGCACGGGCAAATTTGATCCCATAGTCAATGTTATCACTGCAGCCACCCCAGTCGAAGATGCCCTTGCTGTCCTTGGCAGTTCCTTTCTTTTTTGGATCACAGGAACAGGATTTTAATTCTCCTTGGCTACAGGCCCTGGTGATGGCAAATACAACTCCAGCTGAGGAGATGGCGTAAACAAAGGCAGATTCCCGACTACCTGAAACAAAAATGTTTTTCTTAAATGTGGTCCGGGAGTGCGAGTTCTGAGTAACTTTCACACAGTGACTGTTCAATACTTGATCTGTCCCTGACATCCTTTGCTACTAGACAAAAAGGCATTGGTATTCTAGAGAGATTCTTTTCTACAACCAAGATACACCTTAATATCTCTACCTAAGATTTCCATTAATTTAGATATCTCTTAGGTAACTCGCCTTAATTAGAGTATAATAGAAAAAAAATGCCCTTTCCCAGTTAATAGTTTCAGTGTGACTCATACACATGCATACCCTGCATTTACCTGGAACCCTAGACATGCCAGAATAATGCAGTGTGGCATCTCTAAGCTTAGTGTCTTCATGCATAAAATACAGGAATAATATGGAATTCTATTATTCATTCCATAGTAGGGTTGAGGGCTCAAGAAACCATCATTTTCCTTGCAAAAAACCTTCCAAGATAGGCAACATACCTGTGATCCCAGCTTTTCGGCAGGCTAAAGAGGGAGGATTGCTTGAACACAGTAGGGTGAGGCCAACCCAGGAAAGCCAAAACAAAAAAGCCTTCCTCACCTGCAGGTATTACTGAAGACACTCTTATGCATTTAAATTATTCACACTGAAATTCTGAGTTCAGAGAAATCTAGGGGTTGACGTAGGAAGAGAATTCAGGCAGTAACCGGCCCCTGGTGTTAATGCTGGAGAGCTTTGGCTTGACATCAACTTTCACAAGTAATTGAGAGATTGTTGAAGGCAATATGCAATATCCTTGAGTTACATACTATGTCTAACTATTAAGGTGAATTTACTTTCTTCTGGAACACCTGCACTAATCACTGGTATTGGGTAAAAGACAGTGAAAAGCTTTTCTTTGGCTTTTCTGGAAGGAAACAAATTTACCGCCTATAATTAGACTTGGGCAAGAACCCTTTGGGGTGCTTTCTTAGAATTGTTCTTTATTAGAACACAGGCCACTTTCACTTACAGGCTGAAAGGTACATATTTCAGTGCAATAACTACATTAAATTATTTTAATAATCTGTAGTAACTCATAACATGGTGTTGTGATATAGTGACAGATATAAGGCTCTTTAGGGTCCGTGTGCACCTCATTTTTCAAGTAGAGCTGTATTTCATTGTTATTAGCATGCCTTTTTATTAATGGTTGCTGCAGCAAATACATTAACAATCAAAATAGAAGCTGGACAACCTAATGCCAAGGCAAGGCAGAAAGTAGAGAACCATTTGGCGATTCAATATGTCAAGACGAGTGTGTGTGACTTTTTGAAAAATACAGCTGGGAGAACAAACCACCTTTTTGCATGGAATCCCTGCTTGTTTCCGATTGTCATTTAGTGCTAAAATTTATTATATGTCCTTTGCAATATTTGCTCTGCTAGTCTCATTAAATCAGGAAAACATATCTACACCATATTAAATGCACTTACCTCAGCCTTCAGAAAATATCTCAAACTTCTAAGCATCAAGAAAGGAATCAGGCATGCACTGTAGCCAGGTAAAACCAATGAGATGACTATGTGCCATAGGTAGCAGGCTGTTTTCTCCAGAGAGGAATGTGTGGTCACAGAGCTGTTTTAGAGAGTCTCAGCTCATTATTATAGGGATCACAGATATTCTAAGTGGAAGTGAGATGTTGTGTTAAAAAAAAAGTAACTGATAGAGGCAAACATGGCTTAATCTTAGGTAGCAGCTTTTGGATAAAATTTTTATTATACCCATTTTACAATATCCATTTTATGAAAATTCCTTGTTCATAGTTACCCCATTTATCTTCTAAGCTCTGGTTTTACTGTCCATGCTTACAGATATCACATGGGGGAAAATTCCTAAATGCTTAATATATTTAGCACTATTTTTTTTTTTAAGGAGACAAGAGAAATCTTATGAGCCGGTCTTTTAGGGGAAAGGCACAGAAGATGTGGGTGATAGTATGTCAATGAGTATTTTGAAAGCAGTAGAAATAAATTTTCTAGGCACACAATTCATCCCGGTGTAATTTGTAAACAACTGCACTAATTTGTTGGGTGAAAAAAATCACAATCTGCTACATTTTATAAATAATTTTCAAAGCAAAAATATCACCTTTCTAAATATTTGTCATTTATTATTCAAACACATTACTAAATGTTTGTTTATTTAAATAAAAATTTAGCACATTGACTGACTTTTCATTTTATCTCCAGATGTTTTAGTATCTTGTAGATAGGGCCTTAAGATGTTTTCAGTTAAGTGTTTTAGATGAATCACTAAATTACTATGTGTGAAATAGTAGCACATCTCAAGTGTTGGCTTTGTAACAAAACAAATTTTGATCTTGGGCCTCTTAGAAAAACCAATTCTTTTTAAGGCCATCACAAAATGAAATAAAATCCAAACCAAAATGGGGATATTTATACTTCCTCGTATGTTACTATTGAAGTTGCTCTCATTTTTGGATAGCCTATGAATCAAGCAATATCTAATATGTACATAGGCAAAGTTTTTGTTTGGGTTGGGGATTGTTACCTGGGAAGGCAAAACACTAAAGGTCACTAAATGTTTTTTGAAGGTTATGGATTGTCTAATTCTCTTCAAAAATATCTGATGTTTGTTTTTTGGCTTTTATTTTTATATTTACAAGGATGAGAGGTAATCACTCTTTTGTTTCTTAAGGCTTTTTCTAGAATTCTGGAGGTATAGCCTTGCTTCTTGCAAGAACTGTTTTCAGTTTTCTCTGCCTGTAACTAATAACTATATGTTGAATGAGTAAACTAAAAATGTTCCTAAAAATTGTACTTTCTTTCTCTGGCTCTTTAAAGCAAGACAAGTGAATGTTCTTCATTTCTCCCTGGTCATGGATGGGATGTTTTAGTAACTCCAACATTCTCCCTAGAATGATGTGGCCCTTTGCCTTTCCTGTTCATCTTTCCTATTCATCAAGCACATTTAGGTTTCCAAAGGAGAGTTCAAAACTCTAATAAGCAAATTTCTCTCCAAGAAATTAATTGCAAAAATCTTAAGATAATTTTATTGGAATTTCATTATTATTTCCAAGATAAGCTGCTTTGGGCCAAGTTCAGCCCTCTTATTACCAACACAAAATTGTCACTGACAATCACAAGAGTCTACATAAATGTCTGGGAAGGAATCTGGCCTTCTGTGAAGAATGGAAAGAAATTGTGTAGCATGAATGTTTTAAGTTCTGAAAACTTTGCCAAAGCATTCAGCTTCATCCAAAAGAAACCAGAAAGAAGTACAAGTTGGAATCTCCTCTTTACCTGAGATCTTAGACTTAGTCAATCTGGTTATATCTCCTTCAGTTCTAACCTGTTTCTTTCAGCAACTCCAGCTTTGGCAGATATACTATCTTTAGAATCACTAGTCAAAATTGCTTTTTTTGATTTGTGGTCTAAAGTTTTTCTTTTTTTCAATATGAAGACATAATGGATCTCAAGGTGATCATTCTATAAATGAGAAGTGTATCTAATTTTAAATCACTGGAAAATGGCTGTGAACAGTTTGATAAAGAAAAATCTTTATACATCTTTTAATACTCCAAGACTTCAGATATATCCCAAGATTACTTGTGCTAGATACTTGCAAACTCTCTTTGACAAGTTCTAACACATAATTTTTTTTGGTACAGGGGACTGAACTCAGAACCTTGCACTTGCAGGACAGGTGCTGGAACCACTGAGCTAAATCCCTGGCCCAGGGATTTAATTGATTTGTTGGTGAGCTAATCTAGGTGAAGTCTTAAAATTCCATGAAGCTGAAATTTACTATTATTCTTTCAAAAATTTGTGATGTCATATTGAAACTCCAAAACGAATGCAGAAGAATATAGTTCTTATATTGGAGAATAAAATTGCAGAATATTGAAGTAAATTAACTTTAGGGATACTCTAAGAGTGAGAGTACTACGCCCATGGGGGATTTTAGAGACATTCAGTTATGCATTTGGCCTCATAAAACCCTAGGGCTGTGGTGATTACATGATAGAAACACCCTCTGTTAAGCATTACCAAGTGCACAGCCTGGATGATTTTCTTGGGAATGGGGCGTGGGGGTGGGCAAAAAACAAGTGTAAAGTTCCTGCTTTCTGGGGTTTGCACATAAACCATTGTATTTTCAGGCAGATTTCCCAGTAGCAAATTGGCCATGTTGTTTCATAGATAATGCTAATCATGCCAGATTAGTGGATAAGTATTATTTGAAAGTAAAATCTTCTTTTCAATTGTTTTTCTCTGATTGTATACTAGCTAGTAAGCTACTTTTAATATTAATTTAATATAATATTTTAATAACTTTCAAGAAGTTTATTATGTAATTAGATAATGTTTAAATCTTCTTCTAAGGAAAAATAAATCTGTGTATACATGGTTCATACTCCTATCTTCCATAAATAATTGCACTGATTTCCCACGATGAAAACAATGGTCATGTACTTCAAAGATGTACTAATAAGAAAATGTAGCTGGAAAAGAACAGGCGCTTACTACAAGTTCATCCCGTCATTCATGGTAATAAATGCATGAGGCCTACAGTACACATGGCACCAAGCAAGGTGCAAGGAATACAGGCTAGTCCTTGCCCTTAGTGAATTTACAATCTATTGAAAATAGTGTTTAATTTAGATACAGATTGACTCAAGGCTCAGTAGCCAGATGAGAGGTCAGAGGTAAAGAATAAACATTTGTCTCTGCTTCTTAATTTTCATGTTTTTTTTTTAAATTGCAAAAATCTGGCTAATAAAAGATTTGAGTATTCCATCCTGATCTTCTTCCCAAACTCTTCTAAAATGTTCAAGCCCAGAAAGATAAGGGAAAAAGTCAAAAGAGCCCTGTGGCTGCCTCCTCTGTTCTAGGGACAAAATCTGACCATGGAGGGGGAACAGGCAAGGTTGAAATGACACAGCAAAAAGTAAAAAGACAACCACCTGGCGCATACATCATCCTCTAGGACTGGGCCCTTGTAAGACTTCAGAAAAATTCCTTGATTTCTCCAGGTGTCATCTGTAAAATGAGACAATACCATCCCACAGCACAAACTGATGGAAGATATAGAATACAGTAAAAGATGAGTGGTGGCTCTGAAGACCAAATGAGGAGAGAGCTGTGAGAGCAGCCCGTGGAGCTGGGCTAAGGGAGGATACTCACTTCGGAGCAGGACCCTGCCAAAGAGGCTGTGGTCCCTGTCCAGGGTGTTGCAGTTCCAGCGATGCTGGCGGAACTGGTGCTGGCACTCTGCTGTCCACTCAGCCACTCCCAGGCCAATGGCACGCATCACGTCTGGGTGTCGGTGGCACAGCTGCCGCTGGCGGCTCACCAGGCCTGGCACATTGTCACACATCACCCTGGAGGAGCCACCAGTAGCTCTCATGTACCTGAGAGGAGCCAACACAGAAGCGAGAGCAATGTGAATAGCCAGGGTGGCTCACTGTTCCCCAGGAGACCCAGGTTCAAAGCACTTTTCAAATATGAATGCCTTCTGCATTTGATAATATTAGAAACCAAGGATTATTTAATTCAGTGAAGATGCAGGCAAGGGAGGCATAGGGAGTGATCTGGCAAAAGGCTCCTCTAAATGGAGTGATGAGAGTCTCTTCCACATAAAGCAAGCAAGTGCTGAAGCATGATGCTCTGCACAGGTCGTAGGGGCGAGGTCCGCATGCAGTCCAGCCAGAGAACTGAATTGGGTGGGGGCTATGTGTCTTGAGGCAGTGCGCCTTGGGGGGTGGAGGAATATTCTGCTCTCAGTGACACAATGTGTCTGGACATGGCTTTGAGAGAAGTTGACCTTTAAAAGCTCCTCGATCCCATTTATTTGACCTAATATCTTAAAAACTGTCTGAGTCTATCTAATCAACACCTGCTGGTATCTGACATTACATTCCACTCAGACATGCTGCTCTTTCCTTTCTAAAGAATCCTTTAAATACTTCCATTTTCCAGCTCTTTTTGGCTTTTACAGAAAACCTTTGGATAAGAATTCTTTCTATTATTATAAGGACACTAAATGTTTGGAAGAATCAGCATTATAGCTCCATAAAGTACTTTTTGTAAAGAAACTTTAACAAAAAAAAAATTACATCACCATCCCTACCCAGATGTTCTCTATTAGTTGTGAAATGTTTAGAAAGGTACCTTTTATATAAACCCAAGCTGCCATAGGTGTTTTTTGAAGTGCTCAAACAAGGAGAATGTCTTTTTCTTGTATTTTCATTATTTTATATGATCATAAAATTGTTACAGCTGTGACTTCCAAAAAATATATTTAAGTGACAGCTGAGAGACAATGTGACAAAATGCCTGAGTAATAAATAATGTTTATACACCTATGGAAACAGAAATAGTCATTTTATTGAAAAATGGTCAGTCTGATAAATCAGTCTTTGATGCTGTGTCAGCAATGTCAAGGCTACACACCTTCTTGTTCAAAGCAAGCTTAGGAAAGAATTGAAGCTCTCTTCCCATCAAGGCTCTGCCTTGCTCTGTTGAAGAGCTCAGTGTCCTCCTAAAACAGTCCCTGCTCTAGTCTTTCCTTTGGCTAAGATTCCTTACCGTTGCCAAATTCTTTGAAAAATAGCCCACTATATCCCAATTTTCTGAACCAGTATTTTAATATCTATTCTGAAACTTTTAGGGACAGGGAATTTAGAGAGCTCTCAACTCCATCTCTTTTCAAGATCTGACAGTCAAGAGATGGGGAAGTTTCTGAATAAGTAAAGAATATGCCTTTAAAACTTTTACTTATGCTAATACCTGTTAACCCCCAAGATCCCATCACTGTGCAAAATAAAGAAACTGTAGGTCAGTGTACAAAGGACAGCAGCAAAGTTACTCCTTGGGGTGACAGTTTTGAGCAAGGTAACATCTTGGAAACCTTAGGGTCAGGAGCTTTGCATCAAGACCATAGTCTCTACCTGTAGGCAGCAAAATGTTCTTCTGCCTCACTGGGGTGAAACATCAGGAATGTGGAAGGACAGGAAATAAAGCAAAATCACAAGCTTTGGGCTCTATAGCTCTTGACTGTTTGAACTGGTTTATCTTGAGGCAGTTTTTTGAGAACACTGGGGCGGGGGAGATGGTTATAGTTTTCAAGATGAATTTGCGCGCGCGCACACATGTACACATACACACTGCTAGAGCAAGAGACCAGGATAAGGCGACTCTCAACAGGGTGAGAGACTGACTGATTTTTCTGTTGCTCAGCTGGATCCAAATAACCAAACATCCGAGCTCTCATTTGAAGAGGCATGTGATTTTTTTGGAGTTGTCAAAGCTGAAATAGGTTGCAAGGAAAGCAAAGGGGCTCAGTTCAGGATGCTGGGATAGGAGTAGGCAGCAGTCGGACTGGGGCCTGAATCCACAACTGCCACAGCTGCGGGAAAGCGTCGCCTGGAAGGAAGGGTCTATGTGGCTAGTGCGGTCCCCACTTCCATCTCCAAAAATCCACCCCGCACCCTGGTGCACGGACTTACCACCATGAAGAGCTGACCTCAGGGATGAGGCAGGTCAAGAGCAGAGGGAGCCAGAACCAGATTCCACCGAGAGGGGCTTTCATATTAACCCCCTTGACTCCGCATCAGGTCAGACTCCGTGTGCGGGCGCCATGCGTGCCCGGAGCAGAAGCGCTCAGCGCCGGAGCGCCTCGTCACGGCTGCCGGCGCCTCGCCCCCGCCCCCCGCTCGCGTCTGCGTCGAGTGGTGAGACTCCCTGATAAAGTTTCAAAAGACGAACCCAGGGAGCGATAAAGGCCAGCCGGGGCCGCCGCGCCCACAGCCCAATTCCCCAGGCGCAGTGAGCATAGGCAGCCAGAGAGCTGTGCGCGCCTTCCGCGCGCCCCTGTCCGTTCTGCTTCCAGCAGGGCGCAGCCAAGGGAGGGGGCGCTGCGCCGGGCGGGGCGGGTGGGGGCACGAGATTTTATGCAGGAGTGGATGAAATGAAATGATGGTAAAAGATGCCTGGCTGTGAAGTGCGACGGGAAGAAGAATGCGTCTGCGTAGCTGCGGGCACTGAGGCGGCAGGCACCTTTGGGGAAGCTCCTGGCCAAAGAGCATCAGTGGGCTCTGGGTACAGGAACATGCGTTTTGAAACATTAGTCCCCAACGTGCAACCTAAGAAGCGAGGGGAAGGATAAGGAGATTGCTGTGTGCAATACAGAAGAACCCAGAGATGATTTTTAACTCACAGCTTCGCTTGTCTCCCTCATACTAAGAGGGACAGAGCGCTTGTAAATTTGGAGCTGCCGGGTGTGTGGGGTGAGCTTGAGGAGGAAGGGCTTAGGCCTCAGGGAAATGAAGACATGGGGCCTTGGTTCCTTAGCGCTGGATATATACAGAGCTTGCAGGGACCAGGCCCCAGGGCTCGTGACCCTCAGGATCTCATCCAGCAATCTGGGCCAAAGCACCCCGGGGAAGGTGAGGTTTTTTATGCATACCCAGCTCCTCCCTGGCATTACAAGGAAGATCCCATACAGCGAGGCATCCACAGGGTCTATGCCCCAGCCTGGGTTGCAGCTCCCGCTGCCCCGGTGATCAGACCGGGCCCCTGGGAGAGGTAAGGGGACCCTTGGTTCTGAAACTGGGGCCCCACCGAGCCTAGACAGGGGCTTGGGCCCGCGGGTGGAGCATCTTGAGCAGCAACTGGCTTGAAGCCCCACCGTTTATCACCGGAAAGGAAGGAAGACCAGGAACTCACAGCGGCCGTGAACTGTTCCACTGCTCTTTTCCTGGGGCGGGGGAATCTACCACCCGCTCCTGCTAGCGTGCCCTGGGGAACAGGGGTGGGGGCAGCGGCGCCTCATTGTTCAGAGAGAGTTGGGGGGGCGTCTGGGTAGGAAAAATGGGCTTCCCCACCCCCATTCCGCCCAGCTCTTGGGCCTGAACCGGCCAAAACGTCAGCTCTCGCCCAGCGAGAACACGGTGAGAGGCTGGACTAGGCGCAGCCCAGAGATGCCAAAAACCTGAAAGATGCTGTCATCGCCGCCCCTTCCCCCATGCCGGTCCCTGGCAGGTCCGGCCCCTCCCAGGCTGACCCAGATACATCCCCGTTTGGGTCCGGAAAGGGAGGAGAGGGAAACAAGCACCGCGCCACCCACGACTCGGGAAGAGCAGGGCTCTGAGCCAGGGCCGCTTCGTATCGCGGGCCGCGACCCAGGGGAAGTTGTGCTCAGTCTGCGCTGGTCTCCAAGGAGGGGGGTGGGGGGGTAGGCTCGTTTCTGCTCAAGCACAGGCGCAGGCTGGCGGAGGAGGGGCTGGATCGCACGGAACGAACGGCAACTCTTCCGAACCTCTGTCCTGAGGCTCCCTCCGGAGCCCTCTTCCTCATGAAGCAGAGGAATAAGCTAAAATTTACCTCCACTATCCTTTGTCTCACAGTTTCTTGAATTAAATCCAGACACTTGGGATGGGTAGAAGAGATGACTGCCCCTGAAGAACCCTAACTTGCCAAAGTTTCACTTCTAGCAGAGAATAAAATAGGGGTGTGGATGTGTAGGTTGGAAAAGGTAGGCAACTGTACACTTCTCTCATGGAGAATGAGAATTTAAGCTACCTTAAAAAGTCCAACTCAAAGTTCCACCCATCTCAGCACATTATGTACTCACAGCTCAGGGGTGTTAGAAGTGCATGGAGTGTGAGCATTAGTTTAGAAGCCCTTCTTCTCCACCCAGGGAATTATTGAGTGTCAAGGAGACCTGCCCTTCAGTTGATTATGAGGCCAGTCGAATGACCTAAACCTGAAACAGACCTCCAGGAAAAGGAATAGTCCATTCTCAAAGCTAATTAAATTCACCCCAGAGAACTTCATCCTGGGGATGGAAGAGGAGCTGCCACATATCTTGCCCAGGAGGGATCAGTGTTGGTGAAAAGCAAAGGGCTGAAAAATTTCAAGAGAAGCTAAATCCAAATTGAAAAAAAGGTCCACCTAAACACCCCTTCCTGATCTGTCTAGAGACAGTCTAGACTAGATGACTTGTCTCTTCCATATCTGTGAGTCTATTTTCCTCCTGTATTCCACCTTTATTCACTTACGACCCATCGCTTAGCCTCATTCAACTTCTCTTCCTACCAGAATCTTTACTCCCTTCACATCTGTGCCTATTCTTTTATGTACCCTTCACGTTGAAGATGGGGTACTCACTAGGAGATGTAGTTGAAACACACTCAAGAAAAGTAAAAGGGAATGAGGCTACAGCAAACTTTCACTTCTTTTGCAATAAAAACTACCATCCTAAAGAAGAATTAATAAATAAGTAAACTGCAAATGACTTCAGTCTAGCTATAGCACATGATGAGATGACAAAAAGCAAGGTTCAGAGTGCCATTAGATCTATGAATTTCATACCTGATTTTTAAATTTCATCAATGAGAAATCTCAGAATTGACAGCAAAATTCAGTTATAGTATATAAAACCTGATTCCCTTTCTGGAGATTATTGATAGTTTTCTTTTAACTTCAGTATAGTATTGTAGCCAAATGAGTCAGCCTATTTTCTTAGATCCATTGTTTGCCTAATCTCCCAGGGCAGAGAAAGAGAACTAACTTACTACCAAACCACCTCCACCCTTTAAAAAATGGAGTCACTTCTTGAATCATTTGTCTTTCAATCTGAGCTGGCTTCTTCTTAAGGCAGTGACTACTAAGTTCCATGCTTACCCACTAAGCTGGGTACAAAAGGACCTACCCTAAAAAATTACACCAAAGACTTTAAGTCTAGAGTTATGGGATATACCAACATTCAGAGAAACTATTGAGTTTTATACATGTGAGAAATTCACGCATATCATTGAAAATTGAACTAACATCAGATCCAGAACCCAGAAAGGGCTGGTCACAATTTGTGCCCTGAACCCAACTGAGTTGGATTTTATGCTAAAACAAAAATATTAACATTCTCCATATAGTATTTAAAGAAGACCCTGAGTCTCTTAAAATTATTTTCCCACCTTTCAAGATATGATAAAAATTACTTTGCATAGAAAGAATCAGAAAAATTGCATTTCTAATAAGGAAAGAAAACAAAGACTGTTGCCTAAATAACATGTTGAATTTATCAAAGACTGTAAGGCAGCTATTATTCAAAAAGTGGCCATTGTAAAAAAAAAAGTAAGGATGAGTCTCTAAAAAAGACCATAGGAATCTCATCAAAAAATAGAAAATGGAAAGAGGAGCCTCAAAGTTTTAGAACTGAAATATGTGGTTCAGTGAAATATCTATCTCACTAGATAGAGCCAATGGAAAAGTTGAAATGACAAACTAAAGTATGATTAAGCTTAAAGATAGAGCAGTACAAACTGATCTTAACAGAGTGGAAAAAAGCATTAAAAAGCAGTGACCTTGGGGATCTCTGGAACAACACTATAAAGATTAACATTTTATTATTTGAATCCTGGGAAGAGAGGGAAAATGGTCCATCCAGCAAAAAAATATTTGCAGAGATAATGGCTAAAACCTTTCTAAATTTGGCCATATGTGTAAGCTAGGATTCAAAGTCTTACAGAACCCCAAACAGGATAAACACAAAGAAATCAATGTAAGATACCTTATAATAAAATTGCTAGAAACTAAAGACAATGTGTATTACTTGTGTATTACTTACAATGGAGAACAAAGGGGAACTGGTGATTTTAATGACTTCAGATTTCTCATCATAAATTATGAAGGCAGAGGGAAGTGGAAGAAAATTAACCATTAACTCAGAGTTCTATATCCTGTGAAAATATGCTTCATGATGAAAGTGAAATAAAGGCATTCTCAGATGAAGGAAAACAAAAACAATTCATTGTCAGCACACCTGCTTTGAAGAATTGCTAAAGGAAATTCTTCAGATAGAAGGGAAATGATACAAAAAGAAAATCTGAAGAATTTGGATGGAGATACATGGTAAACAAATAGATTATTTTAGTCTTCAGTTCTTTAGACTATTTTTAAAGGCAAAAACTGTAACATCGTATAGAGTTTTCATTGTATGTAGAGGTCATATATAAGAAACTATAATATAAAGAGGGAGGAAAATATGAAAAATATTTTTATGAAAATAAGGTGATAATTTTGGATATTCCTTTTGAAATGGTAAAATGTTGACTCTAAGTATACTGAAAAACTTATGTACGTATACCATAATCCATACAGCAATCGCTTGAAGAACTGTATAAAAAAAGCAAAAACCCACAGTGAATTAAAATAAAACAAGACATGTTCAAATCCCAAAGAAGGCAGGAAAATGGAAATAGGGTTGAAAAACCAAAGGAACAAAGAGTAACCAGATAATAAAAGGTATACTTGAATTGCAACATAGTGATATAAAACTTACATAGTCCAAATACAATAATTTAAAAACAGATTACCTGAATTGATAAAACCCACAAGACTCAGATGTATACTGACTATAAGAAATTCACTTCAAATATAATATAGGCAAGTAAAAGAAGGATAGAAAAAGAGAAATGATGCAAACCCTAATGAAAAGAAAGCTGAAATTGGTATATCAGTATTAAAATAGTAAAAAAATTTACTCAAGATAATGAGGGACATAACATAATGACAAAAAAGTCAATTCATCAAAAAGATAACTGTTACGGTTTATATCTAGATGTTCCCCAAAAGCCTCCTGTGTTCACAAGTGGGGTTTCCAGAGGCACCTGGGATCATGCAGGTATTACAGCTAACTTGCTGTTAGGAGATGGGGTCTGGTAGAGGAGGTGTGTCACTGGGGGCAAGACCTGGAGGGGTCTCTCTCCCTCCCAACTTCCTTCTCTTTCAGCTTCCTGTCTGCCATGCTGTGAGCAACTCTCCTCTGCCCTAACCTTGTGGCCCCCTGTTGTCTTGCCTGGGAGCCAGATGACTATGAACTGAAACTACTGAAACTTCTACAAACTGAGCCACAATAAACCTTTCCTTCATTAAGTTGTGGGTGTTATTTTGTGTCAGCAATAAGAAAGTGACTAAGACAATAACAGTTGTAAACAACAGAGTTCCAAAATATATAAGGCAAAAATTGACAGAATTAAAAGAAAAACAGACAAGTGTTTCTATATGTTTTAACAGGTGATGTCAACAGTATTTCCTCAGTAATTGATAGAACAAGTAGAAAAATCAATAAGTTACAGAAGAATTTAATAACCATCAACTGATTAAATTCAATTGATTTTATAGAACACTTACAGCAGCATAATACATATTATTTTCAGGTGCTCATGATCATTCACTAAAATAGACCATATGCTAGGGAAATTTTAAAAAACAGATTCAGGGTATCTTCTGTGATATGGAATTAAGTGAGAAATCATAGGACCTCCCTAGATTTAAGAGAGTAAGACAGACTCTACCTCTTGGTAGGAGAATAACAAGATAACATTGTCGAAGAGCATATGACAATACTGTTGCCATCTCTAGAAAATTCAGTCTTCTACAGTGTTGTCTTTGAATTTAACAATTCAAATTCTTCCCACATGCAAAATAAACTCTCTCTCACAGTCCACCAAAGTCCTATTCCAACGTCATCGGCTTGAAGTCTAGAACCTCATCATTGAAATAAATTCCAAGTGAGATAAGGCTCTTTAGGTGCTGATTTTAAAATGTGTATGAAAATGCTATAGGCTTAAAATAGTCATGACAATTTTGAAGAAAAACCAAGATGGGAGATTTATACTGTGAGCTATCAAGCTTACTTACCTTTTGCAAAGCTATAATAATTACTGCAAGGTGGTATGGTGGAAGAATAGTCAACTAGATAAATGAATCAAAATAATAAGCTAAAACATAGAACCATATAAATAGAGCCAATTTGATTTTTCAGTAAAAATGTAAAACAATTTAACGAGGAAGAAAAGTTCTTTCAATACTCGATAACAGAGCAGCTAGATACCTGAATAGACATTAATCTTGAACTCTGTTTTCCATAATTCAAAAAAATAATTTGAGATGGATTATACACCTATATGTAAAAACCAAAACAATCAAGCTCCAAAAATAAAACATAGGACAATTCTTCAATGGCCTTAAAATTTCTTACATAAAATATAAAAATTATTATAGAGAAATACATTGAACTTAATTAAAATTAAGAGTTTTGTTCATCAAGATACCATTAAAAAAGTAAAACAGCGAGACCCAGACTGGGAGAATATACTTGGAATACTATCTTCAATAAAAGACTTTGATCCTGATTCTGAATATTTAGAGAACTATCAGCCAAAAGAAAAAGACACACACTCCAATTATAAAATGGATAAACTACTTGAATAAGCACTTCACAAAAGAAGATATTCAAATATCAAGTAAGAACATGTACAAGTGCTCAATGCCAAGTAAACAAAAGGAGAATGATCAGTTAAAGTTTCCTGGTTTCTAATTTTAAGGGAAAGGTAAAGATACTGCTTACCTTTAGACTTTCCAACTGGTATTTGGTTAAAAATCTAAGCATAATCACTGAAAAGAGTACAGAATATAAATTTACAGTCCAATAGGAAAAAAGGGAGTGGAAATTAAAAAAAAAAAACCCTAAACTTAATAAATTCAGAGGAAAGAAGGTATAAAATGAGAAAAGTTTAAAAAGAAAGCAAAAGAATAAGTGGTATAATTACATTAGAATCAGAAAATTAGATTTTAAACTTGTGTCTAGATGTCACCCCAAAGCTTCATGGAGTCATAGGTGGGCTTTTTGGGGTGAGGGGCTGAATCTAGAGTGTGTGATTCTGGGATTAAGGGAGTAGGATTACTAAATTATTCCAGTGATTGGTTTGACATAGTTCTGGGAGTGGATAATGGGGAGGCCCTCCCTGGGTGTGAGTGCTACCCACCCTTAGGGCAGGTAACCTGAACAGAATATAAGGGACAGATAGAGGGCTGCTGTGGTCACTGCTGCTGCTTCCTTGCTACTTCACTGCTTTGCTGGCCTGCTGCCTGCCATGAACTGTTTCTCCTCTGTGATGCCCCTCTGCCATGTCACCCTGCCTTGGAGCCAGACAACGATAAACTGAAACCTCTACAAACTGTGAAGCAAAATAAAACTTTTCTCCTTTAACTTTGAGTGTGGGGTATTTTGTCTCAACAATGAGAAAAGTAATGAAGACATAAAGCAATACATCAGTAGAGATAAAGAGGTTGATTATATGAGGATGAAAGATACAACTGACCTTTTTCAAGTGGGAAGGGGATTAAGAGGTGGAGGGAGGTTTAGGGGGAGGGGAAGAGGATGAATAAATAACTGAGATGTGTTATGTACATGTACCAACTCCCCACAAAGAATGTAATCATTATGTGCTGCAAACATGTACTAACAAAACAATAAAAACTGAAAAACTAAATTACTGAAAATACAGTCTCAAATTATCATAGCAAAAATTCGCAGAAAGGTTATATGACAAATATATAGGTTATATGACAAATATATAACTTTAATCCATCTCTCTTAGTAATGGAGTCTTATCAGTTTGCTTTTGCTATTTAACATGCCAACCCAAAATTTAGATGCTTAAAATAGTGATCATTCTTTATTATGTGGGTCATATTTTAAACTGGATCCAAGTGGGCAATTTTTCTCCTGGTCTTAATTGGGACTATTTATGTTTGATGGCTTCACTCACATGTCTGTGCATTTTCTTGAGTGAAAAATAATAGGGCCATATTTATTTCATTATCTCTGAAGTTGTTTATGGGATAATAGATCAGAAAAAGCTTCAACAGAGTAAACCCTAATGCATAAATACTTTTCAAGCCTTTACTTGCATCTCTTTTTGGCGAATATCTGATGGGGAGGGGCATGGCTTACCTGGATACAAAGATTCCAGTTTTTTAAAAATCTCATTACAAGGGAATGGATGCAGGGGGAAAAGACCTGTGACCCTTTTACCCTTTTTTGTGACTAGTTTTTATAATCTATAGATTGATAAGAGCATGAAGACAAATTAGTAAGATTATAAAAAGAACTGGACAGCACAAAAAGTTTTATATAATTGATGGATATAAAACTTGGACTATACAATTTAAAAATACAAAATCTGTTAAAGTGGACATGATACACTTGCAAAAAACTGATTGTATACAAAGCTATGGAATAGTCTCAGCAACCAAAGAATTATTCTTTTATAAACCCCATTTTCAGAAAAAACTCAATTTATCTAAGAATTAATTACAAGATAACATTTTTTTTTTTTTGGACCAGGGATCGAACTCAGGACCTTCCACTTGCGAGGCAGGTGCAGGAATCACTGAGCTAAATCCCTGGCCACAAGATAACATTTTTAAAGGCATGTTAGAAATTTTAAAATGTTTCTAAATCATTGATAAAAAATTCATAATAGGAATTATAAATGTAACAATAATAGAAATACTATGATACAATTTATAGGATATAAAGTACTACTTAGGTGAAAGTTTTACCTTTAAGTGCTTATGTTAGAAAGGAAGTACAATGTAATGAGTAGTACATCTCATCTGAAATTAGAAAAAATAACAGGATAAACTCGAGAAGACAAGAGGAATAAGATGAAAAAATATAAATTGATGAAATAGGAAACAGTTTCATTAGAAAGATTTGACAAAATCCTAGCTCTTTGTAAAGATTAATAAAATAGACAAGTTTCTTATTCAACAGATCTAGAAAAACAAACCAAGACATGAACTGTTTAGGAAAAAAAAAATAACAGATTCAATAAGATTTATAAAATAGAGAACCCTGGGCTGGGGATTTAGCTCAGTGGTTCCGGCGTCTGCCTGGCAAGTGCAAGGTCCCGAGTTCCATCCCTGGTACCAAAAAAAAAAAAAAAAAAGAAAATAGAGAACTCCATCTTATTTTTATGAGGCAACTGTTGCCTTGATAACAAAACCAGACAAGGGCAATATGAGAAAGGAAATGATTTAATACCATTTGTGATTATAGATATAAGTATCAGAAATAAAATATCATTAAACTGTTAAAGTTTGGATCTGGAATATCCCTCAAAAGCTCATGTGTTGAAGGCTTAGTTCCCAGCTCAGTTCCACTCCTATTGGGAGTGGAAATCTTCGAAGGTGAGGGGTATTTGGAGGAAGTAGGTCACTGGGAGTGTGCCTTTGAAGAGTACCTGGGAACCTCCCTTTTTTCTTCCCCACCTGCTCCCCCCCCCAACAGGAAGTGAGCCACTTTGCTCCACCACATCTCTCCACCATAATTGGTCAGCCTCAGCCTGGTCCTAAAAGTAATGGAGCCAGGTGAACAGGAACCAAATTCTTTGAAATTGTTAAACAAAATAAATCTTTCCTCAATTAATTGTATTTTGTCAGAGCAATGAAAAGCAGACTAAGATAAATCATGTGTATATGCAATTCATAATTTAAAAATTCAAGAATATTCCAACATTAAAAAAAACCCATCCATGCAATTTAATATACAAATGTATAAAGGAGGAAAATACAAAACCCAAAATATGCAGAATAATTGATTAAACTGTTTACATGAATTACACATAATTATGGTTTTTACTCTTGATTGTTTAATCAAAATTTTAAAGAAAATTGTAGATTCACAAAAATTTGCAAGAAATAATATAGAGAGATCCCATGTGTTTTCCTCACTATCCTCTAATGGTAACATCTTGCACCACAAGTATAATGTCATAATTAGGGTATCAACACTGAAACAATCCATGATTTTATTACAAATTTCCCAATTTATTCATCCTTGTTTGTGAGCATGCAATTAACTCTGTGCAATTTAGGCATATGCATAACTTTATGTATCCACCACAATTAAGGTAAAAACAGTTCCATCACCGTAACGATCCTTCATTTTGTACATTTATAATTTACTCCCCTCCTGCTCAGGCACCCATATCTAATCACTAGAAATCATTAGTCTGTTTTAATCTCTATGATTTTCTCTTAATTTTTTTTCTAATTTTTATTAGTGTATTTTTGCAGTATAT